CTCTTTAATGGGAGGATATGTAAACTTTCAAGCACAACTGTATAATGAAAGGATTCAAAGAAGGATGGAAAGAACAGAACTAGGAAGCAAAGAAGGAGACAAACAAGTCAGACGATGCGATTATCATGACTCTAGAAAAAAACAAAAACTCACTTTTCTATTTTTTCACCCCACACAACTAGATTTACTTCCAGCCTATTTTAGCTTGTAGACATTCACAGCTAAACTGTAAAACAGACTTTAGTTTTTTCTACCTGTTCCAAGTCTTGAAAGCATTGCTGGCTCTCTTGAACAGGTAACCCTCCATGACCACCCCATTGGGTGCGTCCACATTGAATTCCAGCTTGGGATCATCGTAGGAAAAATCCTGCAGGATGGAAATAAGGAGAAAAGGTCAAGGCCTGACTTTCTGGGGAAGGAGCATCCGATGCACATCCAGCAGATTCCAAAACATCTTCTTCCCCACTGCCATTAGACTGCTGAATGTTGAATAAAACGGGGAAAAAGAAATAATAAAGCTGAATATTGGAAAAACTGTAAATCATATTGGGGTCTTATGCTTACATTTGATCACAATGTTTACATTTTATTACTGCTGCACTTTAAGCAATGGAAATTTCTTGAGAGCTGTACTGAACAATTTTTGTTTTGTATACAAGCTTGTAAAGTTTGTCTAAGTCTGAATCTGATTTTGACTCTGCTTTTACTTTGCACACAGAATCTTATGAGCTGATGATTTGCTCTAAAAAAAGTCACTAATGAGGAAAATTAGTTACTTATTCAGCCTCATAAAACTACCTATTAAAACCTCTTTGATCTGCACCTTATTCAATCCACCGTAAATAGATGATAGTGAAATTGTTTTGTAATAAACGACTAGAATGACAGGAGATAAGTTTATCTTTATCGTGAACACGTGCATTAGCTTTCCCAGTAGCTTTTCTCTTCATAATGGCTTTAAATTACATTTAAATTGTTTAAACAACAACGGTCTTAGAAAGGGATGAGAGGCACCGTACAAACCCCCCCCCAAAAAGAACAGCTCACATCCTGCATAGACTGTGATTATGTTTCATTCTAGTTAGACAGCTTCTGTTCTTGTGTAAAATAACACTGAGCATATGTCAGGCTGGGCGCACACAAACAACCTCACACAGAAAAAACGCATGTGGATTGATTTCAATCAGCCCTGAAATCAAAGTCGCAGATGGTAAGGTAATATCAGATTTGTCTGAGGAGCTAAGATGTGTACAATATTTCAATAAGCATTCTTAGGGGGGATTTTTAACACAGTGCATAACTATATAGGGGATGTAAGGACGTATTAATGAAAAATAAATCCATATTTGTGTGATGTTATCTCACAACAAAAAGCCTTTCATGTGGAAAACACAACATAAATCTGCACATCACCCCGTAGTGTAACATAGTGGTGGCAGCATCATGCTGTGTGGAGGCTTTATTTAGTAGACCAACAAAAGTTGAGTAAATTAAAGAGAAAATGGATGAAAGAAAAAAGAAGTCAAGCGGTGATAGAGATGAAGATATACCACCATTGGAACAGTTCAGAAACACTTTCAGCTGTTAGAAAAGTCTCCAGACTGATATCTAAATGCAAATTCATGGGCAGACTTTGAAATTGTAGATAACCAACACTTTCTATCTCATCCAAATGAGCTTACGTTACATTTAGATAAACAAATGGTTAAAAAAAAAAATTTCTTAATGTGATAGGCTAGTTAAGACCTATTGCACCTAAAAGATTTCAAAAAATGGAATACCGGCTTCATATCTTATAGGCTTTTTTTATTTGCAGAAGGCTTTGAAAGTCTGTTGTTTTCCTTAAATTTCACAACTTTTTTTTGGGTCTCTTCCAAAAATTCCCAATTAAATATATTGAACTTTGTGGTGCCAAAATGTGGGAGGAAGAAAATGTAAAAAGTAAACATATTTTTGGAGCGCATTGAACACTGATGGAGATGTACAAACCAATTCAAAAAAATGGAATACTCCTCTGATTCTTCAGATAATCTGAGAAATATGCACCCCCATGTAGAAATGAGACATCTAGAAAACTAAGCGTTCAAAATACTGAGATCATCATCATGCAGAGGGATAAAAATGAACTTTAAAGGACGGACAAGAAAGATTTAGAAAAGATCCTCACCAGCATAAAGTCCAGCCCGCCAAATATCTTCATCGTCACCAAACTGACATCTAACAGCATTATGAACAATTACAAAGTGACCCAAAATAAACGGCAGAAAGGAAAAGGGTTTCAGGCATGCATGCCCACACGAGTCCAGATGAGGGATGGATTGTCAGCAGCAGCCTGCTCGTGCCGTTCCTTCACTCTGCTCCACCTGCCAGCAGACTGGCCTTAGCTGCCTGGATGTGGACCCAGAGCTCATTATCATACAGCTGCCACACTCGTGCTCTGCCGACCCCGTCGAGAGAGATCAAACATCTCATTTTACTGCAGTATGTGCAATGGGTTGGGGGGGGGTTGCATGTCCTGCAGCACGATTTAAAGCTCCCCTCTAACCTCTGCAACAATCCTGAGGCCCGGTGTGTTCTGGGGGGGAGTCAGCTTTCCATCTGTCTGAAGCTGTGAAAACTGTTACTGCTAAATCAAGCTGATGTTATTGCTCCCCTAACACCACTGCAGGACCCCCTCTTCCCACCTTAAATCAGCCAAGACTCTGCAACAATCTGCAGAGCAAGTGGCTGAAGGCGTGGAGGCTGCAGAAGCAGCGGCCTACAGAATGAAGCCCATTTAGTCTGCAGGATCTGGACAGTTTAACATGAGACTAAGCTTGACGTATTGATTACATCACTGTAAAAAATAAAACTTAAGAGGACTCTAATTTAGCTTTCATGATTAGAAATAATAAGCATGTGGAGCAGTTAACAGGCGTGTTTAAGTGCAGGTAGATAAAATGCATTCATTACAGCTTTGTAAAAACATACCACACAAATAAGCACCTTGCTCCTGTTTACTGTAATGTTAGGTAAGAGCTGCAATGGCATCTCTGTGGCCAATCACAATCGAGGTTACATGAGCATCTAAATACCTCTCTTGGCAACTAAATTAGGGTGCATTTTTATCGCAATAGTTCACACGCTGAGTCATGATTCGGAGCAAAGCTGCAAGACTCAGACGCTGCTGCGGATTCAGTCTCAAATGAAACAAAATGCTGTCAACAAACCCAGCCTTTGGTGGGAGAGCGTTCATTTTCAATGTTTGATTTTTGTTTACATTTCATTAATCCAGAATCTTCTACTGGTTTTAAAAAAATATGGGGGAGGGGATGACTTTAGTAGACGGTTCTCTTGGGAGCCGCAATAAAGTCCTGCTCCCACAAAAGGGAATATCTGAACTATAGAGGGAGACGTTTAACGTGAGGAATTAAAGGAACGTCTAAGGACAGATTTTACCCATACAGAGAGAAATGTATTTCCCAATTTTTATCCAGACAAATTTCGTACTAGTAGGTCTGAGGTTCCTATGTCATTATGTCAAAATACACATTCTGCAGGAATTTTAAACATGGAAGCTGGAAAATCAGACAGGAAGGAAGGAGTGAAGGAAGGAGTGAAGGAAGGAAGGAAGGAAGGAAGGAAGGAAGGAAGGAAGGAAGGAAGGAAGGAAG